TATAACAAAAGTTACTGCTGTAATACTTATCTGCATGATTGTAATATGTTCATCTTTGAATTTAAGATGAAAGATCTATTTTTGTGTAGCAAAATAACTAATGTCAATGACACTTAGTTTTGAAACCTATATAAACGTTAATATACCCTATTTAATCTTACAGATTACTACTTACTAGGAGACTCTGCCTACCCATGCACTCAGTACGTAGTTACACCGTACAAGGATAATGGTCACTTGACGCCTGCGCAGAAAAATTTCAATGTGAAGCTAAGCTCCGGTCGCGTTGCAATTGAGCACACATTTGGAATACTTAAGCAGCGATTTAGGCAGTTGTACTACTGTAAACTAAGGGGTAGTAGGAAGTTGTGCCACTTTATCAGGGCGTGTTGCGTCTTGCATAACATTGCAAACGAAAGTGATTTGGAATTTTCGCCAGAAATTTCCATTGAAGAAAGGCATGAAAATGAATGTGGTGAAACCACCAGAGGAAACTCCGTCCGGGATGCAATTTGTAGGGATTTGCTACCGAGGCAACAATGACTAAATATTCCTTAATTTTAAGATTTAGATTAAAATTAAGTTTAATATTAAGATTAAGATTAAAAATTAGTTTAAGATTAAGATTTGGTTTAAGATTAAAATTAAAATTAAGTTTAAGATTACTATGTAGTTTAAGATTAATATTAAAATTAAGTTTAAGAATAATATTTAGATTAAAATTAAGATTAATATTAAGATTTAGTTTGATATTAAAATTAAGTTTAAGATTACTATGTAGTTTAAGATTAATATTAAAATTAAGTTTAAGAATAAGATTTAGATTAAAATTAAGATTAGGTTTAAGATATAGTTTAAGATTAAGATTATATTTAAAATTGATTAAACAATGAATTTAATAAATTGATACTCCAAATTTGTCAAAAAGAAACACTTATTATTTCACACAGGTTCACGATTGTTTGTATTATGGATAAGGAATGGGCACTTGCAATATTTGCCAGCCCTAATTAGGCCATTGATCGCCTTTGTAGAGGATAATAATAGCTCGTGGCCAAAAGCCAATTTACAAAAGTATAACTCGCTCTTTTTTCAGTCTTTTATTCAAACTTTTATTCAGTATTTAGTTTAAAATACAGTTTAGTAAAAACTAAGCTTATTGTTTAACGGAAAAAAAAATCAGTTTGCTTGTAGCAAGCGATAACACAAATATTCTAAATACACTAAGTCTACCGGCAACAGTTAGCTTCCCAAGTGCTAGAAAATCGGGAAGATTACAATGAAGTAATCTTCTCAACGCAGCTAATGGGAGAAGTTCATGAGGCTCAGAGTGGAGTATGTACAGAAGAGGCTCAAAATCCGGTAGAGGCACTGGAAATGCAAAGCTCACAACGAAGTGAGGAGGAACTTCCATCCGAGGGAATGTTCGGCTCCGCAGAGAAGCAAGCATGGGTTGAAGCCCCAGTAAAATTAATGCTTGCGCTTATTGAGGAGCTGCGGCCCAAGGTGGGGAAAAGCGCATCCGTGAAAAACAAGACAAAAATGTGGAAAATTATCACTGAGCGTATGGCAGCGGAAGGTTATAACTTCTCAACAGCGCAGATTGAGAACAAATTTCGGACTATGGAGCGCAATTTCAAGAGGACGAATCTGCACAACAATCAAACCGGCAGAAATAGGTTTAGAATTAAGGCTTATTTTGCTTGACAAGAGCCTCTAGCAACTCCAACTTCTTTTGCGCCATCTCTTCCTTCCTCTGTGCCATCTCCTCCTTCCGTTGTGCTCTCTGTTCCTTTTTTTCCAACAGCACCAAAACCTTGGAATGGTACTCCTTTCTTTCCCTTGCCATTTCCTCCAATTTTTGGTACGTCCGCTCATTGGATGCAACTTTCCTTCGCTTAGGAGCACAACTTGGAACATCATCTGTAAAAAAATATAAATAATTTCCTGTTTGTAGAACTTTATAGATATTGTTCCATTACCATTCGTAGATGGATCCACATCAGAACTGCTTTCTGGTGGTGGGCCTGCATTTCGCGCAATCCCTTCAAGCTCCTCGTTGTCCAGCACGAAATCGGGATTTATTCCTCTTTGCTCTCCAAGCACTTTCTCCAATTCACTGCAAAACATTTAAATAATTTACAGGTAAAAAAAAGTAATTTATAATTGCTTACTTCTGGTATGGACACGTCTGCCTATTTCTGCCGGTTTGCTTGTTGTGCAGATTCGTCCTCTTGAAATTGCGCTCCATAGTCCGAAATTTGTTCTCAATCTGCGCTGTTGAGAAGTTATACCCTTCCGCTGCCATACGCTCAGTGATAATTTTCCAAATTTTTGTCTTGTTTTTCACGGATGCGCTTTTCCCCACCTTGGGCCGCAGCTCCTCAATAAGCGCAAGCATTAATTTTACTGGGGCTTCAACCCATGCTTGCTTCTCTGCGGAGCCGAACATTCCCTCGGATGGAAGTTCCTCCTCACTTCGTTGTGAGCTTTGCATTTCCAGTGCCTCTACCGGATTTTGAGCCTCTTCTGTACATACTCCACTCTGAGCCTCATGAACTTCTCCCATTAGCTGCGTTGAGAAGATTACTTCATTGTAATCTTCCCGATTTTCTAGCACTTGGGAAGCTAACTGTTGCCGGTAGACTTGATCTGGAAAAAGCCCATGTATTTATGTAAAGGCATAAATTGCGTTACTTTCTATAAAGAACTTACCTTTTTGAATCCGCATGAAAGTTCCTGGTGAACATGTTACGTTAAGTTGCGAATTATTCATTTTTTATTAATAAGATAAATCCCAGCGGCTCGACAATGAAAACAAGATGGTATTTTTATTTGACATTAGTTTTGTTGTTGCCATTCTTCGGACTAAAAATTTGGTTTTTTGCGTTCCTTTACTTTTTCGTGTTATTCTCTTTTAGTGAGCGCATTTTGCTTACGCTCTTGCATTTTGACACTTTTCAGATTTTAGTCCAAAAAGATAAGGAATGGACCTAAAGTAATACCACGATTGAGAGAAATAGAGATTGCGCCAATGGCGGTACCGCTAATCCGCTCTTTGTGATTTTGACAGAATCAGCTGTGTGCGTGACGTCATCTTGGTGCAATTGTTGATTGTGAGCATATCAAAAAACCAAATAACAATTTTAATATTTGTGCGTTAATATTTCTGCGTGGTTTTAAACAATTATTGAGACATTACAAAGCAAATGAAGTGTGCCGTGGCAAAGTGTAATAGTGAAAACAAAAGGAAAGCGTGCGATATAAGTTTTTTTTTCGTTTCCTACGGACGCAAATCTGGCGAAAAAGTGGAAGCCGTTCTGCCGGCGAGGAGATGCATTAAACACCAAATCGAGCTATGTGTGCATGAAGCACTTACTATTGAAGATATTGAAAATAATACACAGTTCCAAATAGGTAACATATTAGGGCTATTCGCGATCCGGTGCAAATGGTCTAGCATCATTGCATTGCAAATTTGTATTGCATTCATAAACAAAACTAAAGCTGATACACAAATATTGTTTTGCAAAAGCTTTACCATGACAGTTTAATAAAGGTCGCTCACAATCCATGGCATATTTCTGCAATTGCATAAATTTGTCAGCTCTTATGCACCGAATCGCGAATAGCCCTAATGTGTATTTTCATACTGATTGCATTGCATGGTACAAAAGTCATCAAATAAAAGCTGTGGAGTCAACAGCTGTGGAGTTTATGGTGGTTGGCTACCGTCCACAAATATAAATATGCACTCTGCATGGCTTTTTACAATGGCGAGTCAAAAAATTCACATTGCTGCACACCATCCTTTTGGTCTACATGAAATTGCAAACACTTTTAATACATCCATTTTTTCATGTGCTAAAAATCGTACATACCTAAAGGGCTACATGTCCAAAATTATTGCTACGTGATCCTAATTAATCAATCTTTGCATATTTATTGATTCCTACAAAATTGGGCAATGTAATATTAAAATTAACAGATTTTTCTGCATTGTTTACATATTTTTATATGCGTTTTGGCATTTCTCTCTTGCAATTGCACCAAGATGACGTCACGCAAAAATTACGCTCAAAAATCCTCTCGTTGGCGCAATCTTGTATTCTATCATTTTTGAAGTAATACCATGGCTTCATTGAGAGATTTATCTATTAAGATTTAATAAATCTAGTTGCTAAATCACAACCGTTTCCTTTGCCACAACGTATCTCGTTGTTTGATGTTCACATTTTTTAAATATTTGACGTTTGCTTATGAATGATTTTATAAATAAAGTTGCGCATATTGAAATACAGACAGATAAAAGGAAGGTACCAGAGCGGAATTTCATTATGTGAATTCTTAATATTACTGGCTTTTTATTCGTTATGTATAGTATATAGTTCGGAAAATGTAACCAACGGTTCTAGATTTCGAATAATTTTCCCGAATTTAAGGAAAATTTATCAAAACGGCAAAAACAACATTTCCGGAAAGAAAAATTGTTAAAGAGAGAATCCAATCGTGGGCCTTTGACATATCATGAAGACCTAGCTAGAAAATGTTATTTTCAACGCATTTCTTTAGTCAAATTGAGCTCTAGAGGATGTTTGGTGCAATGTAATCGAATCATAACCATTACCGAATTTTATAAATTTTATGTCGCACGCGTTAAAGATTTATAGAAAACGGAGAAGACTGCAAAATATTAGCTCTTATTCAGTACTCCATGAATTTACAGGATTTTACACGAACTTGCAGGATGTTACAGGAAAAATGATTCCGTACTCCAAAATTCTGTAAATGAGAGAGATTTTCGGAGAGTTCTGTAGAAAATGAAGTTGCAAGATTTTACCCGAACCTTTTGTTCTGGTAAAATCATGTAAAGTGTCAAGCGATCGGCTGTTTGACGTTTTCACAGGAAAAATGCTTTTTTTGTTACCGTACTTTTTGGTTGTTACTCCCTTTTTACTCTTACTTCAGAGAGTAATTTTGCTGTTTGACATTTTTACAGGATTTTACCCGAAAAGTATTGGATCAGGTCTATTATCATAAAACATTTCTTCTGAAATTTTGGTTTTTAAAATAGTATATTCTTAATTTATTACAACCAAAGCAATGTAAATATTTATAATTTGCCTTTAAAACTAACCAAAATATAAAAAACGTCTAAAAATACGAAAACGCATGCTTTTTTGGTGGGTTAAACTTCAATGTCCGCAACTGTATATTGAAAATACAAGTGTCGGTTGACTTATGGCATGTGAATTCGTGGCTCCCACACCCAACAAATTGTATTTTTAGTTCAATATTATTGAAGATTTAACAAAGATTTAACTTAAATCTATCGAGATTTAATTTTTTGATTTATGGATGTAGAACTTGGTGGATGCAGAATTTCATTTAAGTTGTTAAAAAATATATGTAAAAAGAAATTAATATAAAGTAGAAAAGGTCTTATTGCTCATAAAAAAAAGGTCCGTTAGATATATTCTACTTTATAGAAAATACTAAAAACTTCCTAAATATGTAACATATTTTCCTTTGTAGTACATCTGATGTAACGCCGAACGAGGGGCAACCCCGATTTGGGTGGCAACCCCGGTCTCCTCAAAATGGTGATGGTCGAAAATGACAGTTCAACTGTTTCCGGTGTAATGAATGATGATTATTTCGATTGGTGTGATTCTGTTCACATGTGACAGAAGTTAATCTTAAAATAAAGTTATCATCTGAGTCTGATTATAAATTCAGGTGTGAGGTTTATACTCCACGTGACCAGCGAAATCGACAATACTTATTATATTCGCGGAAAAGCCGACAATGACAGCTAGAATGACGCGAAACCAGATTATGGCTGCACTTGCAGATGCGGGAGTGGCTTTTGATAATGAAGCCACTTTGGTGCAACTCCGTGCGCTCTACGAAAGGGCACAACGCGGCAGCCTACCTCAGCAGCAACGCCCTGATGCTTTACAGCAGGCAGATGCACCACAGCAGCCAGATGAACCACAGCAGCCAGCAGTACCACAGCAGCGCCCGCAAATTTTTCAGCAGCCAGACGTCCAACAACAAGGGGATGCGATACAGGCACCAACAACTATGCGCTGCCAGCTTCTGGAGCAACCGCCTCCAGTGGGGTCGGAGCGCTCGTCGCCGTCTACGGTCCGTCAGCGGTTATCTGAAGCTGAGGAAGAAGAAGAGTTACTAAACCGACAGCTAGCCATTGCCCGGAAAAGGCGAGAGCTGCAAATATTGCAACAGGAGCTGGGCGTCAATGAGAAACGTTTAGACCTGGCCATTCTGGATGCTATGGTCGTCAAGTTCGATGGCTCGGAGCTACAAGACGTACGCAAGTGGACCGGTGACCTAGAGAACGTCTTCGAAGCGTACAATTATGCTGAACGCGACAAGCTAGTGGCAGCCCGCCACTTGATGACTGGGCAAGCGAAGCGTTTTGCATCCATCATAACGGTGCGATCGTATGGGGAGCTTAAAGCGGCATTATTGCAGGAGTTCGAAAGGGCATTTTCTATGCAGGATGTGTTTGCGCAATTGAAAGCACGCACGATGAAGTCAAACGAAACGCCCCGACAATACATTATCGAGATGCAGCTTATCGCTAGTCGCTCCAACATTCCAGAACTGGAATTAATCGATATAATAATCGATGGTCTCCAGGACAAGTCATCGCAGGTATCGATGCTTTACAGTGCCACCACTTTAGCCGAATTGAAGGTACTCATGGAACGATATGAGAAAAAGAAGCGAATCAGAACTCAGTTCGCTAATACAGCCACTGGCGGAAAACAAAAGGAAGGAGCAGCAGCTGGTAGCACCCAGGGCGGTGCAATTAAACAAGAAAATGTCCGCTGTTTTAATTGCTTCGCGTACGGGCATTTCCAAAGCGCCTGTACGGCACCCAGACGCCATCCAAATGCTTGCTTTGTGTGCAACGAAGTAGGGCACACTCGATTCGATTGCCCGAAAAAGAAGACCAGAGGAGTAGCGGCGGCCGTGACAGCAGTAGAAGCAACAGACGAAAATCTGGAAGATCGTCTAGTACGTAGAGTAGTGGAGCAACTTACTGCAA